AAGAAGAAGAAGAAGGAAAAGAAGAAGAAGAAGAAGAAGAAGAAGAAGAAGAAGAAGTAGAAGAGGAGGAGGAGGAGGAGGAGGAGGAGGAAGAGAGGGCGACGACGATGACGACAATGACGACGACGACGACGACGACGAAGAAGAAGAAGAAGAAGAAGAAGAAGAAGATATGGCGGAGGAGGAGGAGGAGGAGGAGGAGGAGGAGGAGGAGGAGGAGGAGGTACACCTACCCGGAGGTTCGATGCTCCACTGGAGAACGCTGCGAGGGGACGAGCGGCGGGGCAGCCCAATTGTTCGTTCAAATTCTAATGGGGGACCCGGCTGCCCCTTCCCGCCAGGCCACCCGCCCAACCCCGCCCCCCAAACACCCCCCCTACGGCCCCAAGGACCCCCCCAGACCCTCGGAAGGCCGGTAACGCCCGCTGGGCGAGCGCGTTCGCAAACCTCCAAAAGTCGTTCGGGCAAACGCGTTCGCTTCTTGTTCAGGCGAACGATCGAACGTGTTCGAACGTTCGGAAAACTTCCGAACACGTTCGGTGTGCTACGCAGCTTATGTCAAGGAAGGGATCGATGTTTGTGATGACAAGAGTAAATGTTTTGAATTGATATTATGTTTGGTGCATGACGTTGAGAATAGCCGAACGTTATTCCACGTTCCTGAGCGAGTGGATGTTGTCCATGCGAAGATTTGATGTTGGCCTTACAAATGGGTAAACGTACTTCTACAAAATGACATTTTCCTCGGGAATCTGCACATGTAACACTTTTCAGGCTTGGCATAACCCTCCAGGTGTGCATGAATGTATGCAATGGTAAGAATGGATGTTATGTTTGGTGACTAAATGTTCCCATGGATGGATCGACCATAGAAGGTGACAAGGTAGTGTCCATATTAAATCACCACGCTGATCGTGTGCACCCCTAACTCTCCGTCTAAGCGCGAGTTTACTCACACTAAGCTTTATCTCATTCAACGATACAAGGTGACAAGGTAGTGTGCATATTAAATCACCACGTTTATGGTGTGAACCCCTAGCTCTCCACCCAAGCGAGAGTTCAATCACACTTTGCTTATATCCTATTTAGCAGAAACGTCAACCAACCTAGCCTAGTTGCGTTGGAGCATCAAAGACTCACCAACAATTGATAACTTGCTGGGAACAAGAGTTCAATTCTGTGTGTGGCGACACGGGAGAGCGAAACTCTCCTCGAAATTGTTTAAAGTCCATTATGAAGGCCCACCAACCTGGCCTTAATTGTGTTTGAGGGAGGTGTGTGTAGAAGGGGGAGGGGGGGAGAGAGTGGAGGGGTGTGTGTGAGTTATGAAAAATTGATATTTCTAAAATCATGTCTGCATTTTGGGTAATAGGTGGCTAGTTCCGTCCGTTGGCATAGTAGTTGGTTTCCAATATAAGCTGGAGAAGGCGTCAGGGCCTGTCGAGCTCTCCGTGGTATGCTGAAAACAGTTGTTGCCTTGATGGCAGGCTGCAGAGATGTCATACCTGTAGCTGTGTGTCAGCAATCTGTGAGGGTGAATCTATCTTCTGTGTAGTCACTGTACATGTTGCGTCTGGTGGGTTTCGAAGTGGAGTGATGATCTAGGGTCTTTTGGACTACTTCAACATCAAGGCTCTCGTCTAGATCCGGATTGATCAGAGAACAGTCAACATCATACTGCTGGAGGAGAAAACTGATGTTGTTAACAACTCTGGGTGGAGTGTCAGGAGAGGGCGAGCCTACAACAATGGGGTTTTGTGCCCGGGCACCTTGTATGGGGGGTTGTGCAGGGAGGGTGGCGGTGTGTGGAGGTTGCTGGCTGAGGAAGCGATGGACTGGTGGAAGCCATCTGTTTGACAGGGATGCAGGCTGAGAGCGTGTGTTGTGTGCAGGTGGGGCAGGAGAGGGGAGAGGGAGCAGTGGGGGTTGATGTGTGGGCTGTGGTGGGAGAATTCCCTGAAGGAATTGTTGTGCTTGGTGTTGGGTGGCCGGTGGTGGTTGTTGTGCTGGTGGATGGGGTTGTGCAGGGGGGTTGTTGTGGTTCTGCTGAAGTGCATTTTTGGCAGTGAGGAGCTTTTCTTTCCTCTTCTGCCATCGGCCCTTCTGTGAGCGTTTGGCTGTGAGGGTGGTGTTTTTTCTTTCCCGTCTAGGTTTGTTCCTGGTTACCTGTGCGTTGTTGTGGGTGGTGTTTCGGGGATTTGTGGGGAGTTGCTGTTGCTGTTGGGATGGTGGGGGGTGCATGGGAGGGGGGTGTTGTTGGTGCTGTGGTTGTGGGGTTGTCTGTGCGAGGTGTGTTGGGGGGTGTTGTGCAGCGGGCAGCTGAATAGGCGGGGGTGCGTTCGATGTCCCGGCCAGGGAGGGGGTTGTGGGCGGTGGAGCATTTGCGGGGGTGTGGGGAGAATTGTTTGAGGCGGGTTTTGGGAAGTTGAGGAAGGTCTGACGGGAGCGGCTTCGTTGGATGATGTCTGATGTCGCGGGGTGTTTCCGTTTGTTGGCAGTTTGTGGGGAAGGAAGCGTTTTTGGTGCTGTGGGGATGAGGGTGTTGGCGAATTTTTCGGCAAAGGGCATCATGGAGTAGGGATTTCTAGAGATGAGTTGTTCGACGGTGAGGTGGGGGTTGGCAGCAAGAAGGTGGGTGAGATTCATCATGTGGCGGCGCAGGTATAGGAATGTAACCTGTAGCTTGACAGGTTTCCTCCATTCGTTCTGGAGTTTGTCAGTTAGCTCGACCATGCGCATTCTGTCCGAAGGGACATCCGCTTCGAACAGATCGAGATTAGCAATGTAGAACCACAACATGTGGTCGAACCATGTGATCGACCCATTGTTTGTGGGGCAAGAGCATTTCAGGAAGGGGCGCCCGAAATTCCAGAGTTTTTTGAACTCATAGATGTCACGAGTTGGCTTCTGAAAGGTCTTTTGTTGCAGCACTGGATGACACTTTCCGCATTTGCAGGGGTCAAGGGGCCCGAGCACAGGAAAATTGGCATCGTAGCTAGCTTTGTTCATGGGGTATGCAAGGACGGCTTTGGCGGCATCGGCCCTGCATTCATTAAGATCATCGACACTGAGTTGTGCGAGTGCGGTGTAAGCTTAGATTGTGATTGGTGCGCAGTGGTTGAAGGAATCAAGGTGCCATAGTTTGTTATCTAAGGCGCTGCTGTGGTTCTCAATCCATCTGGCGGTTTGGAGAGGGAGGAAGGGAGCATCAGGGGACATCTTATAAGTGTTGTTCTTACGGGGGGKGGGGGTGGGGGTGGGGTTGATGGCCTGTTGTTGCCTCTATGCCATTCTCCTGATGTACCATTCTCTCTCGACTTGGGTGACATTGAGCTCATCAAGCATTTTCAGCTTGTTAGCGTCTGTGTCAGCCGTTGTTGAGATCTCCCCTGAGACGGTGAGGTGAGAGGAGTTGAAGCCGTGGAGTTSAAGGATRGTCTTCTCAGTCTTCRCAACTATCTTGTCCATCTCCCGATTTTGAAYTGTKGCCTGCTGGAGGATTTGATGAAGGTCCTTGGCATATGTCTGTATGGTGTGCTCCACCTTCTCTGTTGGGGACTTCCATTTGGCAACGAGAACAGCCCAGTCTGAGAATAGAAGGTTCTCAATGAGGAAGGGTGCCTGCGAATTGGTGGCTTCGTGCACCATACGAAGGATGGTTTCTGGGAGCGCGAGCATTGCAATCTGGGCATGGACACTAGGTGGCGCGAGGTGGATGAAGGTCGCAGCATTTGCAGTGAGCTCACTATGCCAGCCTTGATTGCTGTCAGCCTCATCCTGCATGAATGGGAACAATTTTTGGTTAGTAAATAACTTGGGTAAGGAAAAAGGTGATTGAAGATGATTATCTTAGTTTGGGTGGTGCTGGGGGTTGAGCAATTGATTTTAGTTAATTACAGATTGCTGTTATGGGCGGTGGGTGTCAGTATGGTGTTGTGTTTGGCATTGATGTTTTTTGAGGGAGGGGGGAATTGTTTTTGAATGGGGTAGCTTTGACAGTAGTATTGGTGGTGGTAGCAGTAGTATTGGCTTTGGTAGTAAGGGTATTTTTAGTATGCGTACACAATATTATCAAGGGTAGGAGCGTCCAGGCAGTAGCGTGGGGCAGGGTTTTGGCTTATTCTTTCTTCAGCTAATGGCAAGGATTATATCATGAGGTGTTAACGTATTGTAGATCTTGATATCATAATACGTTGGGGTTGTTTGTATGTGTGGTAAGAATTTATGTATAGGTTTACAGTTTATGTATATGTGCTGTTAATGGCCAAGCTGCTTGTTGCAGGAGAAGTGGTGCAGATCACAAGTCCTGGCATGCAGATCACAAGTCCCGGAAGGTGCCACCGTTGGTGGTACGTTCAGTGACAAAGATTGGAAGCTGTGAATTGGGCTCGCTGTCCTTCATATCATAGGGCACATTCTCCGGGATGGGCCAGATAGTCTAGACTGGCTTAATTCTGATCGTTGTAAAAGTCCCGGAGGGTTACGAAATTTATTTTGTAGTAGGAGAGGAGACTTAGCCTACCCCCCCCAAGGCAGACCTCGTGAAATGCAGCGAAGAGAGCTTGAATCAGCAGGTGTCTAGGACTTAATTCCTAACTGTGAGAGTTGTGTGATACGTATCAAGCAGCCTCCCGACAGCTACACGAGAGTCGCATAATAATGGGAAAAGCCTAATTATGTAATTAGCAGAGGGTTGTCATCACGATCTAGTGATTGCTCACTGACCCGAATGAAACCCCCTATGGCACAACGTTCTGAATTACGTCATGCTCAACGAAGCCAGGCAGCCTGAAAACCATCGAATTTTTATAGGCAATTATTCAAAAAATACATCAAAAAAGCTTTACCCTTATGACACAATCTGCACAATCAAGAGCATTAGCAACGGCGGGGAGAACCCACGGGATTCCAAGGGGGAATGAATGTTACAGTACCAGTCATGAATGTCGACAGTGTAGTAAACCTACTAAACAGAGGCGCCCACCCTGCAACAGAGCAGGCAATAGGGCCAAGGGCGGCCTGCAGAGAAGGCTGAACGGGTCAGTCATACCTGCTTCATCCATATTCAATGCGCAGCAGCATTCATCCCTCTCGTGTTATGACATATGGGTTGGCCCTTACTACGCCTTGCTCCCAGCATCAGTGGCATAAGCGGAGTTATCAGCGGGAGCATCAGCGGCCTCATAAGTAGCATCGTCTTATAGTATCCGTAACAGCAGTGATAACAGTCGCGACTGTGGGGGCGTGAGTATTAGTGGCATTAGCATCACCATTAGTAGCAATAGATTTATTCATAGTATCGGTATTATTGGTGTTAGTCAGCATTTGCATTAGTGGTATGAGCAGTAGTATTGGTAGTAGTAGTAGTATTTAGTGGCAGTGGCAGCAATAGTTTTGGTCATAGCAGCGGGTGCAGCTGTGGTAGTGGGGGCGGCATCAGATGTGGGGGTGGGGATGGTGGTAGCATTATAGAGAGAGGGGGGGGAAGGATGAGAGAGCGGGGGGATGAAGGCGGGAGAGGTAAAGGGGATGAGGCAGAGAGCGAGAGGGCTCATGTGAAAATGTCTAGATACATGTGGTTGAGGAAGGGGTGAAGACCGTGACGGGAGACTATGGGTCAGGAGGCATTCGTGAGGGTCCCAACTTTCTAAGTGTGTCGACAGGGGATAGGATTATAGTGGGCAATATTACCACATAAGGGTTCTGCTTACTATATATCCAGCTTTGAGTGTATGTGTGTGTGTGTGTGAGA